TAATCCAAAATATCATGTGTCAATTCACGAGTTTGCTCATAGAGCACTTTGATTTACAGCAGTTTGCATCCTCAAAGAGATTGAAGATCAGTTCCATAATTTTTTTGACCCCGGAAAAGTTCATTTACTAACCTAAACTTCAAGGTAAAGTTGTAAAACAAACCTTAATTAAAACTTTTCATTTCAACTGTCTACTAAACCTAAAAATATCGCGCTGTCAGTCACGGCGAAAAAACAAAAGATTAAGCCATCGCGAATGAACAAAAATACTTCAAATCAAAGTGCTCTGTGAGCAAACTCGTGAATTGACACATGATCTTTTAGATTATGTTTAATGTTATCTGGTTTAGGGAATTTTATGGCTGATTGTCATATCTAGAGTACGAGCAGTAGTTCAGTGTTTGCTAATGTAGCAAAGAAACAAAGTAACGTTGGGATAAGAAGGCATTACAATTGAAATGATCATGCTAGTACATTTGACAAGGTGGATGATGTCATGTCTTTTAAACGTCTATCATTTTTGTTTCTGGTTCAAAAGAAAAGGTTGGAAGTAAATGTGGGTGAAAAGTGAAATTTACTGTTTTTTTAATTGTTCTTTAAAAATTCAAATTGAAAATCGGTAGCTAAAATTGTTTGTTTAGGTGTTATTTGATTTTCGTGTTAACTTGTTATTTCGTCAGTCGCCAGCACTTTTGTTGCTTCACACAGGAAAAACACACGATACGAAACGTAATGATCAATTTTGTCCTCAATCTCACGCCATAACAGAAAAAGCTTTTGAACATCTGTAAACTCCGAGCGCTTCGCAGTAAGTGATATTTTCAATGAATCTTCGGATTGTTTTCAAGTTCAAGGATTGTAAATTACAATTTTATGAAAAACGAAAGTTGTTCTGTTATTTCAATGTGAATCCTTGCATGCCTGCCAGTCGCTGGCGTCGCTTGTTGAAACTAAAACGAAAAAAAAAAAACTCTTTTAAGATTATCATTGGCTTCTTTTTCACCCCACCACTATTCTTAGCAACAAAGGTCACCATTTCGTCAGTTTATTGCTCGCCAAAAACTATCAAATGCACTCAAAAGCCTAAAATCTTAAAAAAGTTTACAGGAATCGACCAATCGAGCGAGCGAGCGAGCGAGCGAGCGAATGGCATTCCCCACATCGTATCTATAACTCGCTCTTGCGCATGCGCGCAATTCACGAGTTAAAAAGGTCACTCATTACACTGAACCTTCAGAAAGGACGGAGCTTCATCCTCGATCATGGATGGTTTTCCAGAGAAAAAGGAACACCACAAGGAAAAGGGAACTCAAGTGAACGATTATGTTGAAGATGATTCTGAAGGAGGGAAGCCTGCTTCAAAAAATCGAACCATTTTGCGGACCATCGTCATCTTTGCGGTTATATCACTCGTGGTTTGTGGAGCCATACTCACAGCAACGTTGTCGACTCGGAAAGAGCAAGTTACTGAGCGCCTAGTGGAAGTTAACTTGGAACCAGGTGAAACTCTGTTGTATCAAGTTGAGCAAGTCCTTGAAGTACGAAGTGGAGAGCTTCAGAAAGGTATTTGATCTCGCTACTGATTAGACATTAGTTGCATTCCTACGTTTCCCCGCTTCATCGCTATGTGAAAGAGAAGATTTACTGCTTTAAAATTACCTTTTTGGTCTTGAAGGTCATTTTTTGGAGTAAAAAGTATCTATTTGAGATGACATTAAGCCAGAAAGCATTTTAAATAATGACTATGAAAGCGATCTTGGCGTTAACGAACACTAGTTAAACAGTAGTGAAAATAGGGCCTGAAAAGAATTGATGATTTTCATATAATCAGAGTCAGAGCTTCAGAAAGGTATTTGCTCTCGCTACTAATTAAACATTAGTTGCATTCATATGTTGCCACGCTTCATCGCTAAGTGAGCGAGACGATTTACTGCTTTAAAATTACCTTTTTGGTGTTGAAGGCCACTTTTTCGAGTAAAAATGATCTATTTAAGATTAAATTAAGCCAGAATGCATTTTTAAAAAAATGACTATGAAAGCGATCTTGGCAGTAACAAACACTAAATAAACAGCAGTGAAAGTAGGGCCTGAAAAGAATAGATGATTTTCATATATTCAGAGTCAGAGAATGCATTTTGTTCCGCGGTTCCAGACAAATTTGACAATTTACAAGATAGGATCAGTGGAAAGTTTTTAGTTAAGAAACATTACAGGTAGGCGATTGAAATTGAGATCATTGAAAAAATGTCAAAGCTGCACGAAAATGAAAAAACCGAGTCGTAAATAAATCAAATCTTAGGGAAAGAATGGAATTGGCCATTGCATATGCAAAACATACCAGGCCGTGCAAAAACAGAACGCGATCGCCCGCTCAGGTGTCCCGTTACAATCTCTTTATTTTGCATGGTTTGTTTCATCTTTTAAGAGGCGAATTTGTTATTGCGCGGTTAATCCCAACATCAGAATTTGCCTGATATATTCTCAGTGATTAGCATATGAATGGTTCAGTGAATTATATCAGTGTTTAGGCGCTTACATCATCCAAATGTTTGGCCTTATGATTTTTTAAAATTCAATTAATCGTTAGAACGTTACACCCAGTATATCTTTAACAATTAGCCTGGATCTGAATCCATAGCGACATTTTGCTGCTCATCTTCAAATTGTAGGGGGATTATGGTCGTGTGACGTTAACTTTTACCTGAACCCTTCCCCCCCCGACAGGCTCTCAAATATTCTTATGATTCCCTCCCCCGTTGGTAGTCAATTTTCAACCCCCCCCCCATTTTTATTCCGTTGACGACTTATTCCCGCTTATTTTAATGGTCACTGAACCCTTCGATATATTTCAAAAAAGTGTTGGCAAAGACACTCACTATCAAAATGTTAACACTGACGGTTTTGAATCCGCCTTTTTTCATACGGTTTTCTACCATGCAAGATCGAAGT